TGATCTATATCCATTAGCAGCAAAGACCCAATATCAAAAATTAGTCCTAATCTAAATGAACTACTCCGTACCTAGTATGGACACCACGGAAGCTCTAACGTAACCATTTCGTAATGAACTTATACTTTAGGATGTATTATCTATTTCCACTAGGTGTTTTTTATGTGTTCAATCTGTCTATCATACCGTACGTACCCTGTATCACCATCCTCCGCATGCTAGATCACTAGCTACTATATCGAATCGGCGAATATAAGATCTTAAGATCTTAACTCTCATATCCAGTACCAATAACCTATATTACCTACCTACCTATCGATCTATCTATCAAAGAGGAAATATCAATCAAACACATCACCCACCATCCATCACTCACCCACCATCATCATCACTTACTCCCTCCCCTCCCTTTTAACCACAACAACAAAATCATATCACTCTCACATCTCACACCTCACAATCCACTCCCTAGACTATAGGCCATAGGCCATAGACCACAGACCATAGGCACAGGTATAAAAAGTCATAAATCTCTCTCTCCATTCATCCATTCATCCATTCATCCATCCATTCAATCATTCATTCAATTACCAATCACCAAAATCCCACAAGATACAAATTCCAATTCGAGCTGAATAACCATCAATCTATCCATCCATCCATTCATTCATTTTTATAATCTATTTGAAGATGCTCAATGACCAGAGTCAAATCAAAGTAAGATAAAACAGGGAATTATAGATTCATCAGGTCAAACGATATCAAAGTGACGCCTTCATAGAAAGGAAGAAAAAGAAAATAAACGAAGAACCGATCATGTAAAAAATCTCAAAATGTCAACTCCTGAATCGCTAGAAACCCTTTCGTTGCTCTCCCAGCTTTGCGAGTTTCTCATGCAAAAGCCCAAGAGGATCTCGTGTCCAGCGTTTCGTGCCATGAAATTCCGTACAAGCCTTCATGTATCTTTTCTCTCGTAATCTCTGTACCCAAGCATTCCATCATTCACGTCACGTCACGTTCCTATTACCAGTTTGTACTTAATGCTTTGTAGCAACGACTAGAATTGTATTAGATGTGAAAATTCAAATCAAGTTAAAGGAGCTTACCAGCAGGAACTACAATGATAATGATCAAGATGATGATGCCTATAACCAAGCACATCCTCATCTTCATATCCTATAACCGAATATTAGCATAAATCGTCTGATTGGCATCAGGTATAACGATTTACCTTCCACCACATCTGTTTGCGGACTCTGTTGGCTCCACGACGGAAACCTTGTGCTGAAACTGCGAGACTATCGGTTTTATCTTGAAGGGAATCTAAATGGGCACCACGTTCTGAGACTTTGTTGATATTCTCGCGCATTACACCAACAGTATCATCGATAGTCTAGGAAGAAAAGAATAATTAGTCAAGGCTTTGCAGCATGAACCGAGTTACCCGCGGGTTGCCAAAAGCTGTCTGTTGAATTTGGAGCACTTCAGGATTTGGAGAGCTTTGCAGTCTGAACATCACTCTCGAAGATCGTTGCATAGGTATGGTCGCAACCATTCGTGACGTTGTCTTCCGAGAAAATATATGTCGGCACTCGTGTTGGCGGCGGCTAAAACACATTCACAGCGAGACCAACATAGCATAATTGATCGATTACCAACACAATCGACACACCCTCCTATCCCATCCGCATGCCGAAATTATATATTGGAATCGTGACTACTAAGCGCAATATTTATTCCCGTCGTTTGTTGAATCGTTATCGCAAGGTCGGTCGCAAAATCATCATATGCATAATGATGACAGAATGACAAAACTCTCCATCGACTTCCAAAACTCTTCTCCATCGACAGACAACTCCTCTGGCCTTCGGGATATCATATGTAACTTACAGCTTGTAATGCCGCCGTCCTTTGGTTACCTCCTGCTTGTTGGGTACCTGCACCAGCAGCTCCTCCGCTTGGGATATAAGGATCATATTGAGGTTCTCTGTGGTCGGCCATTATGTCGTTTGTGTAGGTATGAGGATTGATTTGTTCGTGAAGAATAGGTCGTTAATTTTGGTTTTGGTTCCTCTCTGAACGAAAAATAGCTCAGCAAAGATTTGTGTCGTAAATATTTGAGTTGTGTAGGTAGTCGTTGTTGGTGTTGGAGATAAGGAAGATGTAATGAAATGGTTTGAATGGGGTTCTGGAGCACGTTTAGAAGCGAAACAATAGTGCAGTCCAAACGTGATTGGTATCTACCAGGGGGACTTTCAAGGTTAATACTCTAGTTGCTTTCTTTGAGGAGTGAATCAATAAGTAGGTTACTAACTAATAGCTCCAAATTTAATTCAATTGAGCATCTAAAAGAAATTGAAACGATAAAAACAATGAAGTTTACAGTATCAAAATGAAAGGCTAGCTACTATATAATTTATTTATCTTGGACTTGGAATACGAACGGCTTCGTCGGAATCCATTCTAATTCCAGTTGCCTACCAACTTGTCTACGCAATCAATTCTGCCCGCCATCCATCAAAATCATCATGCGCCATGCTCATTTTCCACGTGATACTCTATGAAAACCCCGGTCATTGTGACATCGGCTGCTTCTCAAAAGTCAAAAAAAGATGGCTGTGTCACAGTGGCGAAACCTTGAAGATTTCATAAAATCATCAAAGAAACAAATGCGGAACGAATATCAATCTCGTAATGTGATGGTGCTATTGTCAGTGCTGTCGATTTTGTCAATGCGAATCATTTATATTTTGAGCGTCGAGGATATATTATGCATTGCTTTTACTCAGTGGTTAACCACTGCATTAATATTGAGTTTATTGAGGTCAAGTTGTCCAATAGGTATAAGAAGGAACCATCTTCCCCGGATTTAAAATCCATTATAATACACGCTTCATTCTGCGGGCTGTATCATATCTTGATGCTCCACACAAGATTATATATACGAATGGAGATATCCTCAAGGTCCAGATAGATCTAAAATCTAAAATCAAAATGCATACATTCCTTCCGCACTGAATGGATAACAGCGAGCGCAGATAGAGAAAGTTTTAAAAGGCTTGAATAAGAAAAATCACATTGGTTTTTTATTTTTCAATTCATTTTATAAGTACATGAAAACAGGTATAGTAATATAACCATCAATCAGATTTCATTCACAACATCTAAACATCCAAGATCTTATAGAGTACATTCATCTACTCATAAAACATATCATATCATACCATATCATATCTCAAAAAAAAAAGATCCCACCAAACCCCAACAATCTAATCTACAAAAACCCCAAACCACCAAATCCAAAAACAAGCCCGCCTTCCTTCCTCTCCTCTTCAACTGCATACCTAGTATATCTCTCTCTATCCACATTTCCATACCATAATCCCATATTCCAAGAAAGATAAAATTCCGACAGTTCAAATACTTTTATCGCCAATCTCCAACTCCCCCATGCCCAAAACACCGTAAACACCAATTCACCCCCTAGGTGCATTCTTGCTTCTAAATGCTATGCTGTATACTCCGTATATGCACGCTCAAAAAGAGAACTAAATATAGGATATATAAAAATACAAAGAAACATCGTCGTGAGGAAATGAAAATATAAATATGAGTAGTCAAGAACAAAGAATACATGTCTTCGTTTATCGTGAGAAATTGAAAGGAAAAAAAGAGGAATGAATGAATGAAGTAAATCTATAAATAGATTTATAAATGCAGAAGTTAAACTGAAACCCAACGAATCAGCATTTGGTAGGGAAGTCGTATTGCGTATCAGCTTCTTGTTGGGTTTTGATATCAAGAGAAGAGAAAAGGAAAATCCAGAACTCTGTGAATGGTTAGATAAAGGCGAACTGAGATATGTGATAGGTCGTTGCGCGTACATTCTGACATGCCAAATCTATCTGTCAAACTAGCATATCGAGAAGAGAGCTCTATCAAGGCTATCAGACAGATACATCGCCGAAATGTTTCTTGAATAATCTATGGTATTCGAGTCAAGAACCTAGTAAATGTTGTTATGATCACAAAGGTAGTGACAAAAAGGTGGCTATGAACAGATCGATGCGAACTTTCAAGTATGCTGAGAAGAGTCTATTAAGAAATGTCGATGCCAAAACCTCGTTCTGGACCACGTTGCCATAAAGGCGGAGAAACAAGAAGAGATTTTCGCCTTGGTCTTGGAGTTTGAAGTATCGGTGTTTCATTCTCATAAGATGTCGGCGACATCACATTGATATCGTCCAATGGCGAAAAGGTTAATTGCGTATTGATGGGTCCAATTTCCTCGGCTTCCAGGAGCATTTGTCCAATGGTAGCAATTTTCAGAGCATCCCAAGTACCTTCACGCCTAGGCGCTGCTTCCTGTAAGATCATTACCGCATCTCTCCTTATATTTTGATCAGGACATGCGTATATAACAACGAAAAGAGAAGGAATAATCCCCGCATCAAAGACAAACGTCTTCAAGAACCGGGGATCAGAAACAAGATTTTGACTGAGAGAAATGATTTGACGAAAGATGGGAAGGAAGTGATCAGAAATTCGGTAGTCAAGAAAGACTCCTTGGCCCATAAGTCCTATGCAAAGAGCTTTGATTTGAAGAGTAGTGGCAGCAACATAATCTGCATTACCCAGAGGAGATTGTGCATAAGAAATGATTGGCTGGAATGCTCTCTGCCAATCCTGAAAAATGGAACTGAACATAGGAAATTCGAAACCAGTAAGAATTGGAGATGACGCTTCCAGATGAAGCCTTTGAAGTTTTGAGAAGCTGATTGCCAAACCTTTAGGGGATAGAGCTGGAGATGCCAAGCGTTTTTCAAGGTCTGCTCTAGGTATACTTGGGAGAGAATGATATAGCACATGTTCTAAGTGAAATTCGGCCTCTTCAAGATTGCCAAGTCGCCGGGGAATATTGGGTGGCGATACATCGACGGAGATGAGGTCAAGAACTTTGCAGCTCAATGAATCCGGATCATCTGGTCTTGTCACTATCGCCAAGGCAAGGTGGAGATACGCGGTAACAATCTCATTTTCTACCAGATCTGGTGCAGGAGAACTTAACAAGAGATTGTGACGAGGATGACTTGAAAATGCTTCATGATGGTGCATCATTTTCAGTGCACTGTAAATGTGCTTATCTGCCAATTGAGTATTGCCATCTATAAGGTCAAAGAGTTAGTGATTACCTTCAAGGGGATGTATTTAAGAAAAATGAGGCTTACGGAAATTCTCAAAGCAGAAAATAATAAGGGAAACAAGTAAAGGAATGCGCAAAGAATTCTGACTGGTCTGAACGAGGTTACGAAGATACCTAAGCGATTTTCCATACTGCTTTAGAGCATATTGATGGTGCATTTCTACTTGATCGGCTGTAGCATGACCTGATTAGCACCGAATTATCAAGTAATATTTGAGACTCACAAATCCTCTGGAACCCAGCTTCGCCTTCATCCTGATCCAGATACTTCGAGGCTTTCATAGCTTTGCTCAAGGCAGCAATTGCGGTAGCAGCATGTCGGACGGACGTGTCGGTATGACAAGCCTGAAGGATGATGATGTTGAATAGTTTCTTTTCCGAACCTCCAGCAAGCTCAAGCACCGTTTCTTTACAGAAGAAATCAAAATACTGAGCCTCTTGCTCATTTCCAAAGTCTATTACGGAAATAGTAGGGGGTATTGAAACTAATGGAGTTTCTATAACCTCTTGAGATATCCCAGTAGATATAGTTGGGCCCATTAGCCAGGCCGGCTTATCCTATGATGGGTATCAGCAAAGTCATAATTAATACCATATTAAGGCATACCTTAGGACTATACTCATAGCCATCACATTTCCTTCCGAAATTTTTGCATCGCATGCACGATGGTTTGGCCTCATCACATTTGACTCGCCGTATTCTAAAAGTAGAATATATGTTAACAAATTTTCATATGGTTAGCTTTCAACATATGAAATCTAGTATGATGAAAGAAACCACAAACTTCATACTATGAAACGCCCAATTGATCAAGTGGACCAATTGATGTCTTATTCACCACTTTTACTCACTTGCAAGTGGTACACCCTGTCTTTGACTTCTGCCTGCAAGCACGTGTCTTTTTAGAAGCTGTAGATGATCCTGCTAATGTAAACTCTGAAGAAGTCATTGCCATCTTGAGAATATGGCAATGATGAGATTCTAAGTATGAGAAGATGAAAAGCCCAGTAAGAGAAGGCGAAAATGTGAAATTTTGAAATGGGATTCTAGCCTGAGGAAAAAGGCTGGATCAATAGAGAAAGGGAAGAGAGGAAGAGTGAAAAGTCCCAAAGCTTTTAGACGCGCGCAAGATTCAAAGGAAAGGAAGAGTTCGAAGTCAGCGTTAGAAGATCCGGCTCCCTAATGAGGGAGTCAACAACATGTATAAATTTGCGGCGATAAGGAATGAGGGCTGTAACGGTTAAAGATAACAGCGGTAAGGATAAAAAAGATACAGATCTATATAGATAGGGCTGTTGATGAAAATAAATACTCCACGCTGAGGCTGCGTATTATTTGCAGTAATCATAGTAATCATGTTGACGATGCAGAACAAGATGATGATGTTGTTGTTGTTGTTGGAGTGTGGATTCCAAGTGTCATTTTTCGTTGCTATATTTAAAAATAGAAGTGACAGACATGAAAAGACAAGGTTACCATTGGACAAGAGTTTGGCTAAATTCAAATGTTAGTACGGAATAATTTTCAATAATTAATGACCAATATATCTTCCAATCAAATTTCAAGAATCTATTTCGAACCCATGACTTATCCTTAATCTATCCTTGTTCAGATCTTATCTTTCCTTCCCCCTTCCTCCTCTAAACGCGCGACAGTGGGATAGACGATTTCGTGTGCCTTGCATGAGGAAGTTGCAAAATCCTTTAACACCAGTGAGGCTGTTAATTATGTGATCCGTGCCAATGTGCTCCGTGCCAATGTGCTCATACCAGAGGATGAGAAGGAGGAAAATGAAATCCCATTTCTATTTGAAGATATTACGCAGGTACTCATAGTTACGAAAGGAGCGGCTGAAGTTCCTATTTGAAGTTTGGCATCCCGAATTTGAGGAGTAATCGTGCAAATTAAGGTAGTGGTCAGGGTGTTATAAAGGATGAAGGACCCGAGCACGGGTGAAATTGTCGATACGAGGAAACGGGAGATCTCATAGGATCTCATCGATATTTCTTGAGTCTATCTTCACATCGTTCTTCACCCTGAGACGGGATGCACATCATTCTCCGCATGCTCGGACTACCGGTAGGTCTTCCAAGGAAGGGAATCTACTCCTCCCGTTCTGAGGAGCACTGTGCCTTAAAACACAGCAATCTTCAATGTGTTGTTCATTGTATTTGATTGACCAAGGAAAGGATATAATTATCTATTCTTACCTATTTTACTATCTTCTGTTTACGTAAACTGATAGCTGCGTCTCATCAATAATATTATACTGCCTGGCTTCTCCTACTTCTATATTCTATACTTAACTCTTTAATTTTGACGGACCCCGCACATATCGATGAAATAAACCATGAGGATAAAGAAAATCATCTGCAGCTGCAGCAGAGCACAACAAAACAGCCCTCAAAAGCCAGAGCCTACTCACACCCCACTGTCGCTCATGTTTAACTCGCTCACATGATCACGATGCAAAACGCAGCGGCCAACAACCGCACACAGCACGGAGAGATTTCCCGACCCATTTCGTGCCTTCTCCACTGAACCTTTCAGGGAAGAAAGAGCGAAACGAAACCAAGTCAAACTTTATTCCAACCTACCTTCTAGAGTAAAAGTTTAAAAGTTCCAAATCTCAGTCCAGGGACAAGATAATATGACGGCCACATCACCATAAACTCGCCGAGATACTTTGAATCGTCACTCTTTGCCAAGTCAACTACCTGCTGTTGGCCTAGAAATTATGCGAAGTCCACCTGCACGTGTAGTCCACCATGGCTGTAAGCAAATGAGTGAGTATTGTCTGGGCTGAGTTGATGAATTATATTACTGGGTAGTAGTTAAGAGAGGACCAAGCAATTCAATAATCATTTGAACAGCGCTGAACGAGCGATGTACCTTGTAGCGTTCGACAGATATTGTAGATGCTACAAGGTAAATACCGGATATCTGTACAAAGTTGTAAATGCCTCTATGCCTTTTTATTTACCAAGGAATGAAATACGAGGTTCTGAATTCAATTCTTTTCATCACGGTCGCTTTCAATTATTCTTTTCTCCTCTCCCCCTCGGAACATCAATATTTCTTTCAAGGTCAGGTCTGTTCCTCACGTTTACATTTACTTTAGCCTATTGCTCAAAGTGAACTACTTACTGCACCGTAATGTACTTTACTCTATTCTGCTTAACTAAATACCGACGAGAGTTCATTCCTCTTTTAGATTACATTCTTGGAATTGAGTTCCAAGACTTGCTTCGCCGCACATCCTTACTTTTCAACTTCATTCCCCGCAAGATCAAGTTTCCCTCCGCATCTGTGCTTTCCATTAATACGAGGGAATTCCACACACAGAGCCATTACTACGACCTTGTACAACAGCCAACGGTTACTTTACATCTACCTTTTAATATTTTCAATTACCTCCTCTCTTGATGAATTTTCCATCCTTGTCGACAACCTCAACAAAACAACATTTATTCCGTAAATACCCATCTTAACATGGTGATGGTTGTTGCTTTGCTACAATCAAATCGCTCGTTGGCTTAGGTTTTTGGACTTTTGCTGTCCCGAAAATCATTTCAATCGTTCAACCGTTCAATGTTGATCTCGGTTCTTGGAAAACTGGAGCAAGTGGAGTAATTCAATCGTTTCTCCTATCGCATTTTGATCGATTGCCAGGATATAATTTAATTGGAGATTCTTTCGTCCTATTCTTTATTTCTGCGTGCTCCGTCAAATTCACCACTTGGTCTCTCGACGTCATTGACCTCGGCGCATTTCCAGCCTCGATACCTATTAATTTACATTACACAAAATTGCACAAACAAATATCATTCTAAATCATGAAGCTCTCCACGTCTTCATCGGCTTTGGCTACAGCTTTAATAGCTGGAAGTCATCTAGTTAATGCAATAGAAGTAGATCTTACTTCTCCAGGTATGTATCTTACTCCCATGCCGTCATATTTTCTTTACTAACTGTGGATCCAGACTCTATCAAGAGCGCGGCGAGTACCATCGCGTACGACATGATGACCTATTACACAGGAAATCAGACGGGCGGCATACCTGGAAATTTACCAGCGCCATATTATTGGTGGGAAGCAGGAGCAATGTTCGGCTCGCTGATCGACTATTGGTATTATACGGGTGATTCGTCATATAATGATGTTACCACTGAGGCCATGCTGTGGCAGACGGGACCCGACAATGATTATATGACCCCGAATCAAACAAAAACGGAGGGAAATGATGACCAGGGATTCTGGGGGTTGGCCGCCATGTCTGCTGCCGAAGTGAACTTTCCAAATCCTCCTTCAAATAAACCTCAATGGCTCGCTCTTGCGCAGGCAGTTTTCAATACCCAAGCCCCTCGTTGGGACGATAGTACTTGTGGCGGTGGCTTACGATGGCAAATCTTTACGTTCAATAATGGCTATAATTACAAAAACTCCATCTCCAATGGCTGCTTCTTCAATTTGGGTGCACGACTTGCAAAATATACTGGCAACGATACATATGCACAGTGGGCAGAAAGAACTTGGGACTGGATGGAAAATGTGGGACTAATGGATGAAAACTACTATGTTTACGATGGCTCGGACGATACGATAAACTGTACAAGGCTTAATCATATACAGTGGACTTATAACGCCGGGGCTTTTCTGCTCGGCGCGGCAAATATGTATAATTACACCAACGGAAGCGATATATGGCGTGGACGTGTTGAGGGTTTACTGAATGGCACCCATGTGTTCTTCCAGAATAACATCATGATGGAAGTAGCCTGTGAGAATAATGGGAAATGCAATATTGATCAACAATCTTTCAAGGCATACCTCGCTCGCTGGCTAGCTGCCACAACGAAAATGGCACCCTTTACCTACGATGCCGTTATGGCCTACTTACGTCCCTCTGCTGCAGGGGCCGCGGCATCATGTGTTGGAGGAGATAACGGACGTACTTGTGGTCTCAATTGGAGAACCGGCGGGTTTGATGGATTTTATGGTGTAGGAGAACAGATGTCTGCTTTAGAGGTTATTCAGAGTAATCTCATTGAGCAGGTCGCAGGACCAGTAACTAATACAACCGGTGGAACGAGTAAAGGGGATCCGAGTGCTGGGTCGGGCAAGAGCTCAAGCAGTTTTTCATCAACTAAGCCGGTTACTACGGCTGATAAGGTCGGGGCGGGAATTCTTACTACCGTATTGTTGCTTGCCTTCATTGGAAGTATCTGGTGGATGATTGTCGATTAATGAGAAGGGCTATGAAAGTCTTCTTGTATAAATATATTCGTGTTTGGCATCGACGAATGTTTTGATGAAATGGGGTGGAACAGTAGCTTTTCCTGTTACAGGTGTTTGATGGGCTGGGCTTGGGGGATTCACTACAATTTTGAGTGGGAAAATGGGGACTCGGATTCGGAAGGAACCTTTTGGAGTTTTGGGCGTCAATTGAAAATTGGTGTGTCATGATTCTGTTCAGTTTTGGAGAATTTGTATGATCATGATAAATGAACGCAATGGGGGAAATGCAGCGACGTCTAATACTTGCGTGCAGCGAACAAGATCCGGTGGGTAGATGGGCAAACCGTACTACAGATAATTGGGAGTTGATGGGTTTAAATCATAAAATTTGGTTTGGGCATAGTGTGGGATGATGAGATAGGAGCAGAGGAGCTTCCTAATTTTTGTTCTTATGAGCAGAGAAGTTGAAAGGGAAATATGAGATGACAATTCTCTTTGAATCTAATTTCTTGGATGATGAAATGTGCAAACAAGTAAGAGGAATCATTTTTCGAGTTGATGCTATAGCACTCAGACTACTATTGGTATGAAGCCTGATGGTTTGTTTCATGACTGTTGCTGAAATTTGAGGCATATCCACTTCACATTTTAAAGAAATCAGATGCCTCCCTGCGGGACTTCATACCAAACTTGAATTCCAGCATATAAACTATTTTTCACATATATTTCGGGAAGAAATCCTGACACGCTTTTGAAAGAATTTAGAAACTGACTTGTCACTGAGCTTAGAAGGATTAGAAGCAGCAGGGGGCTCTAAAACTTTTGACGTGTCCCCACGCGTCCCCAAGATCTTAGGTTGCATCTTATAGTTGTGAAATGAAAAAATGATAGGGTTCCCCATTCAAAATTCATAAGAGCTGGACATTATTTGATGACTTGTGGAAAGACATTTGGTAGTAATATGCTATTCTTGAGATATATTGGTAAGGAGCCACGTGGTGGGTGGTCTGCGGTCTGCGGTTTGCGAATGAGAAATTGTCTATCTATCTCTCTTTCTATTAATAACGCAGGTCTGATGTGAAACGTATAGCATTTTGGCTTGAAATAAAATAGACTCCTTCCCCGGATCGATACATGCTAGTAATACGGAGTACCATTGGTGCATGGCAGATCAATACTCATGTGATCAGATCGTTGAGTTACACTTGTATCTTAGAATTCGAGACATTTAAATATATAATTGGTCTTCTGATATTGAGAATTCTGAGGCAGAGAATTAGTATACAGCTAGGTAGCTGAGTAATATCTATCTATATCTGTCGCACGATGATCTGCGCAAGGATAGGGGAGGCTTTGCATGTCGGGCGTCGCTCGAGCAGGCGGATTCCAACTAAATTGTGTATTTTCTGCTTACCCCCAGAGACTTGTTTATGAGTGCCGCATCATGCAAATGGAAACACCAGAAATATACGAAGATTTTTATCAGCTGATGGTGGCCAGCCGCACGCCAATGATCCTCCGCATTTCGGTATTTATCTTGTACTTCGTACAGGCCACACGGCCACATGCCTACCCTGCCGACGTAGGACAACACAACGATATTCATTTGCAAATCTGCAGCCACTTCCCAGAGCAACGCATTATGTCGTCGATTCTTGATCATCCCAGCAACTTGTCATGGAAACAAGATCTCAACAATTTCCGGAGTCGCATAGTTGCGATGGCAACATGTCTGATGGGAATATTCCTAAATTCCGAAAGCCAAGGACACGGGTCGTAAACGCCTCTTCTGCAGGACTGGTGATTTTCTACCACATCTAAGATTTCCAAGATTGGTTTAAGTCTTCTCTGTCAGGGATTCAGCTAAACGCCGACTGGACAATGCGATTGGGTCGTTTTTTCTCCCGAAACGCAAATGTACTCAGGTCAGGTTTGCTGCCACCACCAACATTTCTATGACAATACTCTCGTCATCGGGGCTGCAATATTCCAAGATATTGATATTGGATTGGCAGAAAACTGTTTTGAGCTCCCGATTGGAAATGTTTCGCGCAAAGGGCTGTGAAATACACAAGATTATGCCAACGAAAAGTAGTAAGATAATAGGAATAGGAAGAAATTAGAAATGCCGCGGGTTTTTTCAAGACTTGGTCGGTCTTGCATGATCTGCTGCATGGTTTGATGACTTTCCCGCTTTCCCGTCTTTTTGCCTAGGTTACCATGTTGTATTTGAGAATAGGAAATTGTTTCCCAACGACATTGCTTTGCTTGTTGTTTGTCATTTTTTGAGTGCAAAATCTATTATGCAGAGACATATATGTACAGGTACCTCAAACAAGAAGCCCAAGTTGACTGACCATTCTCACTCAGCCTCCTTAAAGTTATTTCTTCTTCGACTCTCCATCAGAGTCAAATCGACGCCCAGCTGAATTTTCTACGTCAAAATATCTTATCATAGCTACTAGGCTGGCAGACAGTAGACTGCAGTTCTTTTATAAATCCTCTACTTTCTCCCTATTTTATCCCTTCGTTAAAAAGCCACGGGCTAATAATTACACAGCATTTGCACACCCGCACCGTTAAACATCAAGATGGCATGGTTGAAAGGATTGCTTACCAGGGCAGCATCATTGCATGCTTCGCTATCTCAGTATTCTACTAATGGTGAGTTATTCAAAACTATAGGAATTAGGCATACTGACTGTTCTCATAGGGGTGTCTACATATGGATGTTTGAATGCAACAACACTTCCTCCATTCCTACCAGACGATGTATGTTCACTTAGTATCAAACACCTTAATTCATAGCTAACATACGCTAAGACGTCTTCCACATACCCTTGGGGAAATGCGCAACCAGGACAAATCCCACCTAATACTGGAAAGACACGATACTATGATCTCACAGTATCTAGATCCATCAAAGCACCAGATGGATATCACAAGAATGTTATCCTAATAAATGATCAATTTCCTGGACCACTCATCGAAGCGAACTGGGGGGATGTAATTAATGTCAGAGTCACAAATAATATTACTGACAACGGAAAAGAAGGATTGAGTCTTCATTGGCATGGTCAACCACAGAAATTGAGTCCTTGGGCGGATGGAGTACCATCGGTCTCTCAGTGCCCCATTGCACCCGGTAGTAGTTTCACATATGAATTTCGAGCCGAATCTTTTGGAAGCAGCTGGTATCACTCTCACTTCAGTGCTCAGTATAATGATGGTCTGTTTGGGCCTTTAGTTATTTATGGGTAAGAGACTGTCACTCACCAGTCACATGTCTAAGTCACCCGCTAATTCTTTATAGCCCCAATCATGTCGATCATGATATTGACCTTGGTCCAGTCATGTTGGTTAGTTACTCTTATCTTGCTGTCGTCTTTAGTACTAATATCTAGCAGTCTGACTATATTCACGAGTCCTATCGTAGCATGATTGAAGGCGTGGTGGAGAAAGTTCCGAATGGACCAGTCTTTCCAAATGTTGACAACAACCTAATCAACGGAAAAGGAAACTACAACTGTAACTCCACTATGGGTGGTACCTGTACTTCAGGTGCCGGGTTGTCAAAATTTAAATTTATCAAAGGCAAAAGACACCGTCTCCGACTTATCAACGCTGGTAGTTCAGGCACTCAAAAATTCTCCATTGATGGACATCAGCTTCAGGTCATCGCGGTCGATTATGTTCCAATCATTCCTTATACGACTGACGTGGTAACTCTTGCGATCGGTCAAAGAGCGGATGTGTTGGTAATGGCATCAGGGGAATCAACTGATGCTGTCTGGATGCGATCTGATTTGGATGTTCCATGCATGCGTTTGACCTGTACAAACCCTCATGGTCTTGCAGCAATTTATTATGAAAACGCAAATACAACACTTGCACCGACAACGACAGGTGTATCGTGGGACAGTAATGATTGTGCTAGTGTCAGCCTTGTCATTTCACTTGTTGATTGTTGGATATGCTGACATCTCACGCAGGACCCGTTATATTTAACCACGCCTTACACAACGATAAAACCACCCGATGTTCCATCAATCACGCAACACATGGAAATAAATGTTGGTGTAAACGGATCAGGCAATGCGCTCTTCACGGTGAATAACTCGACCTTTAGAGCAAACTACAAGTAAGCTTAATATTGTACCACATCTCCCCATGCACAAACTAACCCCACCCAGTTCACCCCTCCTCCTCCTCGCTAGCGAAGGAACCCCACTCGCCCCTCTCCCCAAAGATTGGAACATCTACAACTTCTCCACACACCCCTCCATCCGCCTCCACGTCACCAATCTCTGGGACACCCCGCACCCCATGCACCTACACGGACACGATTTCTTCGTGCTAGCCGAAGGCCGCGGAACCTGGGACGGCAGCATCACGAACCCTAGCAACCCCCTCCGTCGAGACACCCAACTGATGCGTTCCGGCTCACCCTCCGACCCCAGTTTCATCGTTCTCGAATTCGTGGCTGATAATCCCGGCGTGTGGCCTTTTCATTGTCATACGAGTTCGCATGTTAGTGCGGGCTTACTGGTGAATATTTTCGAGAGGCCGGATTTGGTGGCTCAGGGTAGGGATCAGAGGGGCATGATTCCGCAGGTGGTGAGTGAGACTTGTAGGGATTGGGATGCATATACGGATGCTGGGGGGGAGGTGGATGAGATTGATTCGGGTCTGAGACGTTGAGGGTTTGGATGAGGTCATTAGGTTTGGGGTTTGGAGTATGGGGTATGGGGGAAATAAGGGATAATTAATTAGGGTTTTCTTTTTTCATTGCAATATTGGAGGGGTATTGTTTGTGATGTATAGTTTCTTTTTATGCTTTTTTTTTATTTTATTTTGTTTTATCAGTGGGAAAGGGGGCAAGGCGCTTTTGTGATAATAATAACAGAGAGTTTACTCGAGTATGATGGATTAATTAATCAATGGAAATAGATTTGTGTATTTTGTTTTCAAGTCTTTATTTCTTCTAATCTTACTTGGGCATATGTGTGATATGTGAGAAGTCTAAGATTGAGTCTTATTAACATGTATATAATGTTTAGGTGACGGATTGAAAATAGTATGATTACGTCTTCCAAATATTCTAAGATACTGCGAACTACTATACATACAAGTGCTCTTCCTTTATATATATACTCACTCCGTTGAATCAAAATCAAAACCATTTAACTCGACTTCTTGAGATCAACCAATCAAAATAGACACAAACTAGGTATCTAATCTCCACCCAAATCTCAAAATCCCATTCCAAAACACCCCCTTCCTACCTTCCTCAACATCTCACCCCCCTGCCCCCCTAAAAAACCCTCATCCCCAACCCCCCCCACCTAAACAAACCCCCACTGCACCAACCAACTCCCCACACACCCCTCATCCACCTCCCTCAAATCCCTCAACATCCTACTCCCCTCCACCGCTCTCCTCGTATCAAGCCAAACCTGCTTCTTCCCCTCCTTCTCCCTCTCTACTAAATCCTCATAGAATGAAAGGATCTTCACAGCGGGATTATCATTAATTTCTTTATCTGATATCGTTGTAGAAGCGGTATATCGAAGATGATGTACCCATTCGCTGAAAGGGATTGTGGGGAGCGCGAAGTGGGTTTTTAGATGGGGGAGGATGGTGCGGGAGTAGGTTGTTCGGTGGGGGTTGGTGAGGTGGTAGATTTTTGGGGTAGATGTAGGTTCTGTAGACGTACTGGTGGGATTGGAGTCGGATATTTGAGATTGCGAATTGCAAGACAACGTAGTAACGAGTTCATAAATTACTTTTCCAAGAATATCAACAGGGATCCAATCGATAGTTTCTAGAGGCCCAAGTGTAGATGGAAGTATTTTCATATATTTTGAAGATTTCAATATCAGCGGGAACCATTCTTGTTCGTTCCACTTTCCTTTGCTACTTTTCGGACCGGCTATTTGTCCTACGCGGTAGATGGAGATGGGGATGTGAGAAACACGACACGCGGAGATAAATAATCTCTCCGCGATAAATTTCGCTTGTCCGTATCCTAAACCTTGCGGAAGCGACCAATCTTCGAATGGAAGTTCCGGCACGAGGGGTTGCGCGGATGTTTGTTCTGGTTTTTGGTGGGATTGTGTGGGATAGTCATTATGAGTGGATGAGCTTGATTTATGAGCATTAACATCCCAGTTTCCAACCGTGCTAATGCTGGAAATAAAGTGGATGGAACAACCGTGTTTTGAATGTGCAGCGAAATCAATTAATTGACGAATGCGACGAATATGCGTTGCACAAAATTGGCTAAGCGATACGTTGAAGTCAACATGCCATGCATTATGGACGATGTGCGTGACTTCATTGAGTAGCTTCTGATATTGTGCAAGTTTTACACCTAGCCAAGGCTCTGCAGGACCTGTCGCCATGCTGATGAATTCCACACGCTCGAAATCTGTTGAGAGACCCTTGGATGTGTTCGACCTATGCTGGCGCTCCTTGGAATCGCCGCCTCTATTCAGGCAATAAATCTTGCACGACTTATCTTCTTCAAGTAGGGTACTCAAAATATACGAGCCTAAAGAGCCAGTAGATCCAGTTAATAGAAATACCTTGGGCCCCTTAGCTGGTATCGGTGGTCGAGCAGCAATAGGTAGGTCAAACACGAAACGTTCGTATTCTTTCTTCATCTCATCATGATTTTCATTTTCATTTTTGACTGCGCCGGATAAGGCGCGTGCTAATTTCTCTGCACTTGGATTTGCATATATCATTGACTCTGGTAATGATTTTCGCGGAGGGCTTTGGGATCCGAATGCTGAATTTAATGCTCTCGCTAAGGATATCACACCTAGAGAGTCCAAACCCTGCTCAAAGAAATCATCAGATGAAGAGAAATTCTCAAATCCTGATAAACTTGAAATGGCTTGAAGAATTGTACTCTCTAGGTCAGAGCTGGCTTCGTGAGGAGCGCAGTTGTTTCCATTTGTGTTGTCTCCGTTCACGTGGTGCCCAGCACTCTTCGGTGCATAAAGATCATTGAGTTCTGTCTCGTATAGTTTTTCAGCTTGCTTTCGCTGCACTGTTCCTTTCCCAGCTCGAGGAATTGGTTTATCTCTCTTGGTAAACGTCACAAAGTCTTTGCCCATTATTCGTGCGTGTGCGGGACAATTACTATTTGCCGTTTTTATTGTCGGCCAAATTTCATCTAGGAGCGACTCGCTAGACTTCTTCGGATCGACTGGCTCAATTAATAAGGATGATTGAAATTTCTTAGTACCAGAAACTATAGCAGTTTTAACCTCTGGGTGAGAATTCAAAGCATTCTCCATGCTAATTGGATTGAACTTTTCTCCTGTGGAATAGACGATAATATCATCAGAACGGCCCTCGTGACGCCAGAGATTTTTCGTTGTGGGGTGCTTCGAAAAAAGGTCGCGCGTTTTGTATTCTAAAAGATCGGGGAATGTATAAAAGATTCCCTGATAAGCTTCTACTGATGGATCACGAATGATGACGAATTCATAGAGTTCATCTGAGTGATGACGCATTTCAACACCGAATGCCGTGGAAAAATCGAAGTAATCCCACTGATTCAATATGACTTTATTAGCGGTTTATCAAAGTGAGTGAGCTCTTTATATAAAGTCCCTCAAGGAAAGAGAATATGGGTGTCGAATGCTTACATTCTCTCTGGGTGGTACAGCACCTTGAATATGCCCCGTCTCTGTCGATCCAAAACTCACAAATAATCGAGTATGAGAATTGATGATATCTCCAGCTCTATTAGGCAATGGTCCACCTCCTGTCATGATGTGGGTGAGATGATGAAGGTTATCTAGATATTCAGGAACCTTTGAGATTTCAACTAGCACTGAAGGAGGTAAGTCCGCGGCCTGCACGTTACCATGCATGTGAACCTCATTTGCTATCTCCGCAGTTAATGGAACAGGGGGTGGAAGTACTGCTATTTGATTAAAGAACAAAGCAGTCATGACCCTACTCACTCCGGCGGCATCTGTTCATGGTAATGCGTAAGAAATATATTGATAAAAGCTCTTTGGGGGAGAGGATGTTTCAGCCGTAAACATAAATCAGAACTTCCAATTTGAAGCCGAAGAGTAGAAAATGGAATACTTACGGAATAATGGGAATGTTAAGAAGCATCGTAAGCCTCGCCAGTAATCAGAACCTGTGCAAATGCCAAAAAGTGAAGAAGCTTTTTGAGAAGCATCAAGACCTGTAATAACACCTTGGGGGATTACAATGGGCTTGGGTATCCCTGTGGTCCCAGATGTGTGCATTGCAACGAAAGGCTGAAACCTCGCTTCGTCATAGGTTGCGCTATACTCATAATGAGGGGCATCGAATGAAGGATGGAGAAAGTGATTCAAGGTAGGGACAGCTATGGTTCGAAGATCGATTTGATTTTGAATGCCATTTACAATTTTGCAAGAAGATGGTGAATCCCCCGCGAACAAAAAATTCTCACATCGGTAGTCTTTTAGTAATTTGACATGAGCCTCTAGGCTGTTTCGAGGGGATGGTACAAAAAGCTGTCAAAAGTAAGTCATTATTGAGAATGATGATAAAGAGAATGTCGTACCTTGTGTCCAGTTTTGATCGCGGCTATCATTAATAATATATACCGCAGATCATGTGGACCAATGTAGGCAATAGATTCGTAGTCTTTCCCAATGCCAATTTTTTCTTCAACCCATATCGAGGCGACATCTATGGCTTTGTCGAGTTGACAGAACGTAATGTCCTCGAATCCATCACGTGGCTCGAAAGTCAATGGTATGGATATGCATATTCGATGAGGATCATCGATGGCAACTTGATGTATATAATGGGCAGCCAACCGCTTTCCACAATCTGAAGGAACTTCTGAAGTCTCTGGATTTATCGCCATTTGTATTCCGGACAACAGAAACCGACAGAGATGCAATCTAGGATCTATCACTTGGGAAAATTATCACGTCTCGTGAAAATTCCAGTCGGTAGTGAGCTAATATTTATGAGTATAACGTCAGAAGTTATGTCCGAAAGACTTGTTGTTCTTGACTCCTAATAAGGCTCTAGTCAACGTAAGAGCCCCTTTGGAAATTGCTTGGATGAACACACTGTAAAAAAAAAGACACTGATTTGTAGGGCACGAACAGTAATGTAAGAAATTCTAAAATATGGAATTTAAGTTGTGTGAGATGCAGATTCGTGAAATATCCTCGAACAATTGTTATCGAGCAACATTCACTCGAAACCCACGGGCCACTAAAGATTGATATCATCATACTTTCTTTCAGCTCATCCCGCAACGGCGATATTTACATATCGGGACAAGTTTAAGTGTTGTGGATCGGATGTGGTGGGTTTTGCAACCAAGTATGCATGGGATGAATATTAGTCGAAGTTAAAACCGACAATTTCCAGGCTTGTGTTCCTGCATCAAAATTTGTGTTGATTTATGCAGAGTATCTAGTAGTTTAACAATGAGAACTTTTGATTCTTCATGTCGTTGGAGAAATCCAAAACGATCTAAAGAGGTAACATGCATGATCTTCGCTTGAAAAATCGGATCTACTTGAAAAAAACCGAATTCCTTCTAAGAATTAAATAATTCATAAACGATTACAACTTTTGAGACATTCGGACTTTGGAATCTAGTCTGCTAACCCAGGCTACTAAACACCGTGGATGTATGACTTAAATTTCAAATATTAGACAGTATCGCACTTGAAAGTTTTATATTCAGCTACACCTCGACGCACAATTTGTGGTGAAACTTCCTTCCCCGGCCCAAAAGGACCAGTAACATTAAAGCGAATGACCGAAATAATGATATATCGAATAAGCTACATATCAGTAGACAGTAGCATTAAGATTCTGAAATATTTTGTTTTAAAAACCTAACAACATTCGCTCAGGGTCGACTAGCAATGCAAGAGCGTCGATAACAAGTATTCCAGGAGGTCATCTCAGCCATAACGGTAAGGTTATCGTTGCATGTTGAGGAAATCTTTACAAGACAAGCCAGCATAGATCGATTATTTGACGTGTTTTCAAGGCTCTATATCGATGTGAGTTGGGTCGTAATATTCAGCGGGAGATGTTCGTTTTCATTTAACCTTAATCGACACGGCAGGGATTGAGATCCATATGAAAAGAAAGTTGGAAAGGTTGGAGGTTGAAGTTGTTGGGCTGGCAAAATAGCCGTTAATAGCTCACCGCCTTCTGGCTGTCAATTTACTTGCTTTCGTCTGAGATCATCTGTATTTCCATTTTTATAAGACCTACAATAAACAATTACACATCTATAAAATTTATCATCAATGTATGGACACTCAAAAAGATTCGTGCGGTCTCTGAAGGCATATCTCAATTAAGTGCAATGTCATGAATTCCAATAACAGGGCTATCAGCCACCTGAAGCTGAGGATGAGTGGGTGGGTAAGATATGCATGGAAAAAAGACATGCAGGGAAAAAGGATAAATGAACCGCAGCTAACACTGCCCTTGGCGAGATAAAGTATATGCACGATGACCACCCGAGATCGAAACATCAACACTAAGCCGAATGGATATGAGAGCCATGAGTATCCATATGGATGTTGAATGTTTTCTTCTTTTTTAAGTTCACCCCACCATCAATATGTCATTCAGCAGCACCGCGGGAAGCTAGGAAGCCGAGAAGAGAAATGAACTCTCTTTCGACAATCGTGGCTAGGCTCTAAATAGTAAGGACACTGTAAGTCCTGTGAAAAGGTAATTTGCTATCAGTGAAACCAGATCGCATAAGCTGGACTGATACCTCAAGATGGAATCTATGAGATGGAATCTATGAGGCGGAAAGGCCCCAGGCATGATCTGATGGCCTTTCTTTCCTGAGATCTCGGCAATCTTATAGTCTGTTCTTGCATATGTACGTAATTTCGAGAAAAACATGAGGAATTCTTGGTATGAAGCCGATATATCAATACCATCACACCAAGGAGACCAAGCAGGAGTTATACTCCGAGAATTATGTTTCTTACCCGGGAATTGTGTGGCTAGGCCTCGCGCATGGATAGTTGTGATTTTAGCCAGTAGTATCTGTAACTATAACACTCTCGTCGCTATAGGGTTTTGAGACCGACTAGTTTGTTTCCTCAAAAATGCAATGCAATCCCAGGCCGCGCCGGAGTACCAAACAACCAGCCAGCCACGGAACAAAATCTTTCCTCGTTTCCCTTCTTGTTATACACTCGAGTTCTTTGATAGGAAATGTTACCATTGCGCGGGTTGCATGTCATTTTTCAGCGGTAGCATGATCTGGCAGCTTTTTGTTCTTAAGTCGCTGCGGATTTATAAGCATATAGTAATCGTGCGTGTAATCCTTCGCCTATGGGATATTTTGATCTTCAAACCATGGACGGGAGCTTTCCAGTGAAAGGCGTTCATTGCGGCTAACGTAAATGCTAATTGTCCCACGTGCCTTCATTTTCACGGAATGGCTTTGGCACCCACCACTTTACCTAGAAGCAAATTTCGAACTTCTCGGCACATTGGAATTCTCTGCAGGTTTTTGGTCCGAATAATGCATGATGTCGGCTCTCATTTCCATTCTCCACACTACACCGGAATAAACGATCCCAGAGACTTGGTATCCGATGTCTAACGGGTGATAGCCGCATAACGGATATTTGATCTTTTGTTTGGATAAATCGGCCGGTATGAACCCGATAATACATGGGCCCAATAGCAGAGCAAATATGTGTTCTTACTAGTTAGGGCCCTGTATATTGTAAGTCTCATCATCATACACAAGACCCTTCGGAGATAATCACCCTACTAGCAGGAATCACGATATGAAGGCTGATGCATATAATTGAAGTGAATGAGAACCACATCATTTTCACGTTCGTTCCCTTAACACGCAAACTTCTTGTCATTCTCTAGAAGTGTTATTTTTCATCACCGCCATGTAAAAACATAGTTTCATATCAGGGCCTTCATCCTAGCGGTATAGGCCCAAAGGAGGTTTCCCGGGCGTATTATTGATTTAAGCAGATCCTAATTACTTATCGCTAGTTACAATTTCATGCTAGGTTGTACACGATGAATAGTGAAGGCTGCTTGGCAGCAATGAGTTTCATGATTTCCTTCCTGTATCTAATTTCACCTTTGGGTTTAATTGTTGCGTGAGTATTTAGAAGTACCGCATAAACATTCTTTTCCTGTTGAATATACTCCTTGATTGATGATTAAGATTTTCCTTCAATTTTAGTTTTGACGGTTTGATGCTGTGTACAGTTGTAACCTTTTAGACCTTTTCCGGAAATATCTGTGGATTAGATGATATTGGGTTTATTGAGACCAGAAAGAGCATCAGATTGAATTGATTGATTCTCTAGCTAAGCAGTTAAGCTGCGAGTATATATTCAAAAAATGAAGGAATAAGGTTAGGTATTCAGCCTTCGGAATTAAAGTGCTTTGAAATCAAAATATTGAAAGCAAACAAACAGTATACCAAAAAGGAAAGAATGAATTAAAAGTTGAGTTTTGTTTGCTCCTTATATGCATCATGCAATATATATGCATATGCTGCCAAGATCCCAGGAGGTCAACACCTGGGATAAAAAGGAATCACGTGATAAGAAGCCCCAGGAGCCCTCAAAGCTCCTGGGGGCTCCCTTTATCGTTCATTATATAGTCAGAGTAGTTTCATAGTATAGGAGCTTCGTGATCAACCTAGTTATCAATTAGTTTACCTACATTCTACTTGATCTAGCAACGACTTCACTTCCAAGTGAATACCAGTGATAAAGCCTTAACCCATAACTACCAACCGACGAACCTTAGGCAGCCACTGCCTCCAGTACAGTATCGTTATATAATACTCATTTGAAATCGATTTATATACTTTTCTTAGTTTTCTTTGCAAAAATCAAATCAAAATTATTTTTTAACTTTCTATTCTATTCTGATTCTATAAACTTGTTACGACGGCTATCTTCCACACCGCGTCACATGACTAAACCAAGGTAGCGTGATTAAGTCACGTTATGGACCGCTGCGCGGTCCTGACTAGCCATAGGCATGAAGGACTATATAATCAAGATGGATTTCCTTTGTATAGAGCTTCATGCTCAAGATCAATCATTTAGTATACTCTACTATTAGTTACGAATTGCATATCATTATTGTCATTACTTTAAGTCCCTGCTTGACGCCTAGTTATAAACTACCTCGAGAGCCTAGAGCACTTCCACGTGATCTAGACGGCAAACCTCGTAACAAAACTGTAGAAAACCAAAAAAAAAAAATAAGAAATAAAATAAAATAAATTTATCTCCCATATCTCTCAATCTCTCACATCTACCAATCGAACTCTTACATCTAACCAATCCAATTAAAATAGCCAGACTAAGAACTCATAATTAATCAATCAATCAATCATCTATCAAACGGCTACCTACCTACCTACCCACCCATCTACCTACATCCATCATCCATTCCCATACTCATAAGCCCTGCTCCCGGTGAGCATAGACCCAAAAGTGCAATCATAACAAATCTGCCTGCTAGTGCTCTCAATATTCGACTGTAAAAGAACATGATATCAGCCACCGGTTACACTGCTGGAGGACTCTTCTCTCGAAAATTGAATATAAAGAGCCCATTTGAAAAAAAAAATTTCATATTCATAGTACTATTACACTTTTTGCGTCTGCGTTGTGCTAACAATCAATAATTAACCCCACTCATATTATGGTGTAACAAATGATAACTCCAGAATCGAGCGCGATGAGCAAATGCCGCAAGAAACACGAGAAAAAACAAGATACCAGGAATAGTTTTACAGGGTCAAGTCAAGCAGTCTGACTCTTAACGCCGCAGATATGCCTTGTTTGTTACCGCCTACTCCACATTACCATCCTTCCATAGCCACCATAGCCACATCCGGTGTTTCCCATCCTGCCCCATCCCATCCCAACCCGCCCGTTTTCATGTCCCTAAATCAAATACCGAATCGAATGAAGACAATCATCAAGATCATAATTTGCTCATAGCATAGTCCCAAAAGTGCCGTCCGTTGCGATAGGTTTTCTTGGACTAGACTTGGTTCCATCATCGTCTGTGTTTGGTTTACGATGTCTGAATGTAAATCCAACAAATAAACTCTTGCTCATAGCATCTTCTCGATCGGCCATGTTCTCCAAAGCAGTTTGTTTGTCATGGACTTCTTTGTATTTTGCCATATCAGCTTCACTGCTAAAATCATCAAAGTATCCCGCATCAGTTTCAGAATCCAGCTCTGGTACAAAAGGAGCACGTTGTGAACGAAGTGTGTTCCAGTCAACCTCGGCAAAATATTGATGCCCATAAACTTCCGAAATATTGGAGAAACGTTTAACCTTGGAAGTAATGCAGCTGTTCCTATTAGCAAATGTTTGTGTGGTATACAGAATCAAACATTACCTTGTAATAAAGTTCCAAGTACGATTACTAATAAAATAATTTGGATCCTCCCAAACTGGCCTCTTTAATACTTCTCTCCAATGCTTCAAATTCTTCCAGGTCTCGTCGACGGTAGCACCAGCGAAGGGAGGAAAACCTGTCAAAGCCTCGAAATGCATACAGCCCAAGCTCCAATAATCAACTGAGTAGTCATACTCATCGCCTTTTAAAACTTCAGGTGCCATGTAATCAGGCGAACCAACGATTGATTTGGCATAATTGACATCCTTATTTCTCAATGATCTATAACCTTCTCGACGTTCGGCAACAGTACGCTCCTCAATAGGCTTACCGAATGGAACATATGTCTCGCCGACCTTTTCAAGCTTCACACGCATAGACTCGATCTTTCCTGGAGCAAGGAAACCTGCAGCAAGTCCAAAATCAGTGAGCTTGACATGTCCTGTTGAGTCAATTAAGAAGTTCTCGGGCTTAAGATCTCTGTGAATGTAACCGAGTTGGTGTAATGCATCAACGCAACAGAACATCTCGGCAATATAAAATCGGGCATGTCTATTAGCAAGTACGCCAGTATTGTTGAGCAAGGTTCGGAAATCTCCACCAGGGACATATTCCTAGAACTAGTTAATGGTATGCATACACCTATGGTTAAGTAAAACTCACCATGGCTAGATATATACTCTTCTCGTCTTGGAATGAGTAGAGCAATCTAACGAGCCACTCGCTCTTCGCATTGGTCAAGATATCACGTTCAGTAAGAACATGTCTAACTTCGTCCAGCTTGAACAACAATTTCTTGCTCATAACCTTCAAGGCACAGACTTCCCTAGTGTCTTTCTTCTGAGCAAGGAAGACTTGTCCATAACCACCTTGTCCAACTTGTGTTAAAATTTGGAAATCGCCTTGACGTAGACGGACTCGACGCTTGCGTAAATTGGCACGCTCCCTACCAGCATATTTTGACCAATTTGGAATGTATATTTCTTCGGGAGTCCCCGGAGGGACAGGGTATTGTTCCTTGAAACTATTAAGTCGAGTCTGTCGTGCGCCAACGTAACTTAAAAGATCATAATAGTAATCAAGAAAGTCTCCTGAGTATTAGCGATGGTTAATCACGCAGATGCGAGTACTCACAAAGCTGAGTTACATTGGCCAGACGCTTGACATTTGGCTTATGCAAAATTTCCAATTCCTCAGCCGTCAATCCACGTTGGGTATTGTATTTTCTCGTAGGCGGTGGTGGGATTTCTCGCGTTTGATAAAGCTCCTGGCGGGAGATAGCTGCCTGGTTGAGAGAAGGAGAATCGCGTGAGATGGCTGCTTGGTTGAGCGATGGAGAATCTGTTTGTCTTGTGGTTTGAGGGGTATTGTTTTCTTTACCTTGTCGACGCACAGGACTTCCCGAAGGGATCGTAGATTTGTGAAGAATGCTCTCGTCGGTATTTCCGGCAGAATTACCAAAAAACTCTTCGACAGCGTTGGCGTTCGTTCCTTTCCCTGGAGTTAGTGGTGTGCCAATCGGAACACGGCCAAGTTTGGTTGGACTGCTCAAATTAGCAGGAGTAAGCTTCATAGCAGTATCGAAGGCTGTAGGTAACTCGTTTGCTCCAGGTGGATTTCGATTCTTGCTTGGACTTCCTTGGGGTGTTGAGACGGGATTGATGAAATTGCTTTTATTAACAGGAGTACTGGGTCGATCGACGAGACCCTCATTTTGACTGGACCGAGTATGTAGAGGTGGGGGCGGAACCGGCAAAATGTTGTCATGTCTGCCAGCTTGCACTGAGGGGAAGAGGTTGGTTATGAAGCTGGACATTGTTTATGCACAGTGACTTCTTATCGCAGATCTGCACTGTAAAGAGAGCCACTTTGTGAAATCGCAGAGGACTTTCCAGGGTAAAAAGAATGAAGTTATTGCAAAAAGTAAAAGTCAAATGAGAATAGAATGTATTCTTGTAAAAGGAACGAGTGTGAATTGAAGAGCAGAACGGGTGATGCTCACTTCATTTGAATATGAAGAAGGTTGATTGATTGTATTGTTGAAAGTTCTAGGTCCGTGATTGTGATTGCATAGTAAAGTTATTTTCAAATAAAGTGCCCTCTTTCCCCTTCTTTGCATAAGGTAGGCAGGTAGGTGGGGGGGATCTTTGGCGATTTATGTTTATTGTGGGCAACAGCGTCTGCTGGTTGCGCAGAGCAACGGGATAGGTCAAATTGAGAAATGATGACGTAAGCGAGCATGCAAGGGAATTACCATGGCATTGTCTGTACGTACTCTACGGTGTACTCGGGTATTTTTGAACATCAAACACAAATATCAATAGAACTTTGTTATTCTATTTACTCCCTTTCTCCTTCCAAAAAATGAGTGGAAATTTATGAAGCTATACAGAGATGTCTTATCGCGAAGTTGTTGCCGTACATTTATTAGCATTCAAGCTTTGCAAGTGTGCACTCAGACACTACTCAATTAGCAGCAGTTCGAGTCCCTCCCACCCTTGTGTTCCCCACCACACGCAGTAAGAACATCTATCTTGGCCCAAATTCGTCCGTGAGCCTAGAACAAAGAACAAAAAACAAAGAACAAAACACATAGAACATAGAATATAGAACAACACCAATAACCTTAGAATACAACACAATCTACACTCATTTCATCATGTTCAGCAATCTCAATCCCTTCTCATCTCCCTCCACCACTACCGAAGTCACCGAACTTCGCATCTATCCCATAAAGTCCTGTCGTGGTATCTCCATCAAATCCTCCTCCCTCACCACTCATGGACTCGAGTTCGATCGACGCTGGATGTTCGTCTCTGGTGATGACCACAAATTTATTACCATCCGCGACATTTCTGACATGACCTTAATTGACACTGCCTTTACCACGGTCAAATCTGCCTCCAATTCCAGCGATGAAGATGTCAAATACCTAGTCATCAGCATCAGGAATACGGACAAGAAAGTCATGATCCCCGCGCGACCTACAGAACAGTGGCTGGAAGAAAACACAAACTTGGCACAAGTGGAAATCTGGAAGTACAAGACAGATGGATATTTATACAAGGATGAGATAAACCAAATCTTCAGCGAATTCTTCAAGAAAGATGTGAAGCTAGTATATAAGGGACCAACTCCGAGAATTTTGAGGGGTAATGGAGCACCCGAGATACTTGGTAGAGAGGAGAGCACAAACTTTCCAGATGTTATGTCCGTTTTGATCGCAAATGAAGCTTCCCTTCAAGAGTTAAACCACAGACTAGCTGAGAAAGGCGCGGAAGAAATTACAATAGAAAGATTCAGACCAAATATCATTGTGAGGGGTAAAGACGCGAGTAATAAAGATGACACAGCACCAGCCGCATGGACAGAGGATGAATGGAAAAGAGTCCGAATAATCAACAAGCCCAACTCTGGATTTCTGTCCACGATGACACTGGGCTCAAATGGGATAGATATCGATGTACAGGCTCGCTGTGCAAGATGTCTAGTTCCAAATGTGAACCCAGAGACCGCGGAAAAGGATCAGCATGAACCTTGGGATACCTTAGTGAGCTATAGACGTGTAGATGAAGGCATCAAGTTTAAGCCGTGCTTTGGAATGTTGAGTGTGCCTAGATCCGATGGACCTATTGCTGTAGGGATGAAATTTGAGGTTCTGGAAACCACGGAAAATCACAAATATATGAAGTGATTCTAGAGCTTCTATTTCTTTCTCGTAGTTCAGAATTTAGACTTTAACCGTTTTATGAAGTTTTTATCATTTGTATATTGTGGAGAGTATTAATCATTCATAGCTCATAATCATATATCTTTAATTAGGTATTCAAACAACACATTCACATAATAAGCCGCACCAACATCAACCTACAACCAACCGTTATGCGTACGAGTTTGCTCCTCCCCGTCTCGAAAGATAGAATATCCCCATAATCATTCCCGTCCTTCTCCACACAACCATCACATCCTCAAATTTGACCCAACGCCTGTCTCTTCTCTCCTCTCTACTCCCCACTTAACACATATAAAACCGTAAAAGCTCCTCTCATACACACACACACATAAAAACATCCCCACAACATACTACTACATACTACCCCATCCCCTAACAAATCCCAATCCCAACCCAAATCCAACTCTATCAAATCGAATCTCGCTAAACTTCTCACACCATTTACTACCTTTCTACTCAACCAAATCCACTCTTTCCCTCTAATCACCAAACTTTGTCCGAGAATTACATCATGCATTACCAAAACGTTCTGTTCTCACTTCAACAATAGCATTAGTAAAGCTCCCTTTAATTGATATTATATCATCACTCTCGAACATGTAATTACACAGAAAACACCGGGCTAATGGTATCAACCATTCCACCTCAGACGAGAGCACGCTCAAAACATCGAAGAAGATATGCATACGGGTATTCTTTATTCTAATAACTTCGCTTAGAGATCGCTCTCAAACTGTCTAACCATCAACCCCTTTTCAGCAAGAGAGTCCTTGACTTGCTTAACCGTATATTCTCCTCTGTGAAACATACCAGCTCCAAGAGCAGCATCCGTGGAAGTCTTTGAGAAAACCTCTTCAAAGTGGCCTGGATTTCCAGCTCCACTAGAAGCAATGACTGGTATGCTAATAGCATTCTTTACCTGGTTGATAAGTTCCAAATCAAAACCACTATTTGTTCCGTCCTTGTCTATGCAATTCAGGAGGATTTCTCCCGTTCCCATTGCTTCAACTGCAGTTACCAACTCAACCACGTCCATATCTCGGGTTTCTCGACCTCCTTTAATCGTGCATGCATACCAGCAATAATTCTCGCCATTTGGCCCTGGATACTTTGTTTGTACTGTGTTGTGCTTCGTTTCTTCAGGTTTCGAAACATATACTCTCTTTGGGTCAACACTGACAACTACTGCTTGGTTGCCATAAGCGCCGGATATTTGTTCTATAGCTGTAGTTCCAGACAATTTCTTTCCTCTTGAATAATACTCTTCTGCAGCTGTTACCGCATCCGATCCAATAGATACTTTATCCGCTCCACTCTGGAAATACATCTTTGCGATTTCTAATGCTGAAACCTTCGTACCATCGGTATCAACGGTATCACGAATACCACCACCAATTGTCAATGGAACAAAGACTGTTTTTGATGTCTGTCGTAATATCTCGAGCATGGGTACATCTACAAGCGGACAATCTCTGAAACTCGTAATGTTGAGAAATGTAACCTCATCTGCCCCTTGTTCGTAGTATTTCTTAGCCATTTCGACCGGCTTGCCGAGATTTCGTACATTTCCTCCATCTGTCTTCTCTCGCACATCATATTGATCACCCTTCGTCACCACTAAATCTCCTTGATCATTTGTTCGCACATCCAAACATGCAATGACTCTTCTAGTGAGACCCTCTTTAGCGGCTACCAAGCCTTCAACGGCGCTACTAGTGTTGTTTCCATCCAAGAAAGCCTTGATCACTCGTAATCCAGCAACACCACTCTTCTCGGGATGAAACTGTGTCGCCAATATGTTCCCCTTTGCAATTGCTCCAACAAACTCTTCATCACCATAGCGAGCAGTCGCGACAGTCCAACCTTGACTTTCCAATTCTCCTTGCTTATATGGAACTTTATATGAATGAACATAATAATATTTAGAGCTGGGTCTCAGTCCGTAAACTTCTTCACCAGATGTATTCGCGCTGTTCCATCCAATGTGTGGAACAGATTTTGAGCTATCGTCAAATCGATCGAGAGTCGCCTTGATAATTCCAAGCCCAGGAACCGCCGGATTTTCCGCAGATCCCTCAAAAAGCGCCTGTAAACCTACACAAATTCCCATGAAAGGTTTCCCTGATTCGATGTGTTTTCGTATAGCGGGGAGGTAACCGGCTGAGGAGAATTGAGTCATGCAGTGACCAAAATGACCTACTCCGGGAAGAATGAGTTTCTGATTGTTCTCGCATTAGATACAAAATATGAGATAATTGATTAATCCGTAGTTGTGAGCCGGGCTTTGGTAAAACCTACATCTGCCTTTGGAACATCCTCTGGAGACTTTATCCATTCAATAGTGTATCCCACCTTCTCGATGGCATTGACCAAACTACGCACATTTCCAGCTACGTAATCAAGAAGATAAACTTTCGACATGATGATATATGACTTTAAGAAATAACTTGTCACCAAAAATCTCAATAAAGACTATAATGAAAGTGGTAAATGAGTCATTTAGTAGTTGTATAAAATTGAGGTTTGATCTGCCCCGCCTGTAAATTATTCTGCCATTTGCTTCACCGCTTTCAGATTGCTGGGATTTGTTCAAGCGGGCGGGCGGGCCGCATTGAAGTTAAATGCAACCCACTATTATCCTATGGCCGGCAAACCTAATAACCTCATCCATTTACGACATGCAAATTCTGAAAACTGATATGATTGTCATATTGAGGCAATTATATACTTTTTTAAATAACGAAGCGATGCACCGTTTCACAGCTATTACCCCAGTTTCCAACTATATACACGAACTATACGATCTTCTAGCCATCCCGAATAACTTTCACCCAGATACCGAAAAGTCAACTAAGATTACTATGATTTCCACCAACCAATATTTGATCAGATTTGTTCATGCTAAATCTTAGCAGAAAAGAGTGATGATATCAAAGCCGAAACACCACTCTACTTGTCATTAATAAAGGCTTTTCCAAGCCTTCTAGCTCCCATTCTGATGTGATATCATGTTTCCGAGTTTTGAGAACCGAGGGTAAGATTCACTATAATGCAAATCAGAAAAGAAGCGAACCCCTTTACTCTCATCTCTGGATAGAGGTGAATTGCTCATATGTCAAGAGTAGGTTCACCACACTCTCTTCTTCTGTGACATCATTCTGCATCTTCATCCTGACCACCTCCTCGACTTTTATCTCAGAATTCAACAGAACACAACACCACAACCATATATCACACCATAAAAGGCGGTACTTCCCAAGAATTCCCCAGTACTCGCTCACCATCGTGTATCAAGCTTACATGTTTTGAACATGTTAGGATAATCATTGCTAAAGAAATCACTCTACGTTATATACCAAATCACTCTCGAGATGCCTCTGACGAAGATACTCCCCAAAACTCCAAAGGAGTAATCATTCGAAAAATAATCCACCATTCCAACAAACCAAGTCCAGTGTTACGAGGTTTGCCGTCTAGATCACGTGGAAGTGCTCTAGGCTCTCGAGGTGGTTTATAACTAGGCGTCAAGCAGGGACTTAAAGTAATGACAATAATAATATGCAATTCGTAACTAATAGTAGAGTATACTAAATGATTGATCTTGAGCACGAAGCTCTATACAAAGGAAATCCATCTTGATTATATAGACCTTTGTGCCGATGGCTAGTCAGGAGCCGTTGCTCCTAGGAGCGGGCGTTCCTGATTGTTCCTAGGAACGTCCGTTCCTCACCGTTCCATCACGTGTTTTCAAGGTCATGTGACATTCTATCGCAACAGGTGTAACATTTATCAATAATTATATAATAAATCTTTGATACAAATTTTAATAAATTCTATTGATTAATTATAAAGTTATTAACAAGTGAAAATCACCATTTTTGATGTAAAAAGATGACCGGAATTAAGGATGGCCGGAAAGTAGGGTATTAGATTAAATAGTTTGATTTGAATCGATATTGTATCCTTCGAGTCCTGGCTATGGAGAGAGATCAGATTTAGTAATTATGCAAATATGTCTTTTGTTAAAAGGAATGACCTTACACAGGGAATAGTGGGAAGCTGATAGGGCAGAACTGAGGCTATATTGGTCTTGTATATAAATCACACATTATCTAAGTTCTACGGAAGTGCGAAGCTCTCCTACAGAGAGCTTCTCAATCTAGTCCTAATAGGACTAGTGCCCTGTGCACGTGCTACGCAGGAACCACTCACTTTAACATCTTTTATAGTTGTGGATATATATTCATGAGCAGTGAACTTATCACTTGGGAAGAACTGAAATTCTTTAGAGAATATATAGAGCAGACTTACAGATCTATAACGTAAACATGATATCATTTTATCTAAACTGTGAATAAATATCTATCACTCAATCATCTATATCTAGCTAGTACTGTGCTTAAGTGACAAACTAAAAAGAGAAATAAAAAACTAACAGAAAAGATAGTCATTCATATCCCGACCATGTATATATCTTCCCCTAAACCAAGACGATTGCATTCCCAAGCGCCGACCATTTCTACAACCATTAATTACGTCAACATAGCTCTTCCCTCATCAAAAACCTAAATCGTCCTTAAAGTTCCTCATTTCCATCACATTGTTGCCAGATTTCTACTTTGCTAACTTCCATCTGACCTTGATTATCATTCGCTGTCCATGTTGGATACCAAGAATCTCTCGCATTCCAGAAATCATTTTTGGCAGTAGCAGAAGCATCAATCCAAGGTTTTCCACTCTTTCCATCGGCAAACCATCCATTGGTACCACCAACTGCGACATTAAGGATGAGGTAGAATTCTTGATCAAAAGGTGTGTTGACACGACCAGTTTGAGACCAAACATCTACAATTCTAGTTCCGTTGCTGCTGGAATCTGGGAAATCACCACGTTGCCAGAGTGGTTCATTGAAGGTATTGTAGAGTACTTGAAGAAGTTTGGAGTCGATGTAGGTGTAAAGGTATTTTTGGGACCACTCAAGACCATACTTATGGAATCCGGCAGAGTAAGTGGTGTGGAGAGCAGCACGCTTAACATTTGTTCTCCAGAAAGCATCATTGTCAGAATCAGGTCCCCAATGCAAGGTAGACGAGATGATGTTGTTTCCTCCTTGTCCATATGTGTGATTATTTCCTCGAGATTCCACAATATCAATCTCTCCAGATGCTGGCCATGCGCCGTAAGTATCGGTTACTGGTAACATCCAAATGGCAGGCCATAACCAATCTCCAGCAGGTAATTTTGCAGTTACCTCAACACGTCCATATTTAATGGTTGCGCCTTTCTTGGTATTGATTCTTCCTGATTTGACAGGTTGAATAATTGTGCCGGTGGTAGTATTGGTGATAGAAACACAGTTTGAAAGTACATCGGACGAACATGTCCCGGCAGATGTAAGATTGATGACATTATTCGACTCGATGAGTTTTGCATCTTGTAAGGTTGGCCTAATGATGAGCTTTCCATCTTTGATGAATACATTTTCGTCGTCAAGTGTAGTTTGTTCAAACTCTCCATTACTGCAGATTAAGTTAGTAAGTTTTTACAAAACTCTAGAAATCAACACATACCCAAAGCCACCAACTTCTGCTTCCTGAGTCCAAATATCGGTATTAAGTGTACCAGATGAGAAATCATCACTCATGACTGGACAGTATTTATGATGGGTGACGGAACGTATACCATCATAAATCAAGAACCCCGCAATTCCAAGTCCTACAAGTATGCCAATAATTGGGATGATTGTGACCCATTTCTCTTTTGGGTCCTTGCTCGCTCTCCATGGTTGGTCAATACCTCCCTTCTTTACTCTCCGTGAATGAAAATACCGTGTGCCGTATGTCCTTCCTATCGAAGAAGATGATGCACCAAAAGTAGAACCTGGCCTTGAAGTGAGAGGAGTGATGAACGGGTTGGCCCTTTCTATCGATGGAGAAGGTTGTATACTATCGTCTGCGTTGAAAGGAGAATTTCTGCTTTCCGGTGTGCCAGGTCGGTATGATGGTGTTGTGGCATTAGATTTTGCAGGTGTATGACCTCTAAATGTTGGTTGTTGCTCCATCTTTGTGTGCGCGGAAAGGGAAAGATGTGCTGCCAGATTATTAAGTATTAATATTGATGGAAAGATATTGCAGTGATGATTAAGAAATTGTATTGACTACTCTCAGAAACGAATGTAATCAAGTCTGGAAAGTGAAAATAGATAGAAGGAAGGATTGAAGAGAAGAGAAGAGTAGAGAAATTAGTATTTCTTGGAGGATGATCTTGTCTTTGAATATGCAGAGATAAAGATGTAGGATTGAGAAGAAAAGATGAATTGGCAAGCTATATTAGGAGGAAACAAACGTTATGCTCTCTCTGGCATAGACTGACTATAGTTAGCTCGGCTTTCGCTTTCTTCTGAGCATGTCCTTGGAATAATTTCAGTGATGGAGGTGATGGCCGAATGTTCAGTTAGATGATGATTGGATGAATTATAGACGGGAACTTTTCTCGACTCCTTCAGCTTGATCTGGACCTTGCATTAGTCGACCATAGCTTTGATAGCGGGAAAAATAGTGTGAAGACCGTAGCGGCCGATTGGGTGGTTTTCATCATCTTTTTTTTTTCTTCTTCGCTTCTCTCTTTTTCCCTTTTAGATTTTTCGATTTTTCCCTTCTCTTCACTTCTCTTGTTGTGTAGCAAAAGATAATGTGAAAGTACTTCGTGCTTGGGGCATGACCATCTAGGTGGAATCTTTTCCTAGGTCATGGGACCAATAGAGTATAGCTTGGGTGATCATTTACCCAGAAAGGAAAGAGAGGAAAAGCACCAACCATTGCTTGATCCATAAATAAAACCAAATCTAAATGATCGAGGTCCAAACTAAGGAAAATGCAAAATGCACCAGAGAGAAAGAGAAAAGGGAAAAGCCATCCTTGTTACCTGGGTACTCGGTTGGCAGTCGAGTACCACCTGGCACTTACGAGGTACGTCCAATTAATCATAGTGCAGTCTGTGTTTTACTCGGTAAATGTGGAAATTGGTGGAAGCAAGAGTAGATAAAGGAAATACAGAGGTACGAGATGGTTACCTGCAGATATCATATGCATGTTTTGGGTTACACGGTATGAACCCTCAAATAACCTCTTGAATCGATTGTTAGCAAAAGATTATCGAGTACCTACCTAGTAGGTACCTCTACCTCTCTACCTCTACCTATTGAATGTTCAAAAATATGAGATTGATTCAGCCTCACATTCACAGGTACTCATGCTCATACTCAAGCTCAAGCTCAAGCTCAACCAATCTCTTCGCAGTCTTTTCCCTACCTACGAGTATCCATTCGGGTACTCTTTCGCTACTTGGCCATTAAACCTTTATCTAGTGGTTCCCAAAATCCTTCTACAGGTTTTCAGCTCCCATTCTTATCGACCGCACGTCGAGTCTCCTACAATTGGCCTCGAAAAGGTTTCCTCGTAACCCTTATCACGCCACAAAGATTTCTTCATTTGCTCGACGCGACAAAGCCATTCTTACCCAAGTTGCCAGCCGAGCAAGCGTTGGTTAGCTTTGGCTCATGGCTCGTAGATAAATGATAAGCCGCATCCAATTTTGCAACTTTGCCATTGGAAAATCAGTAGTTTTCATGTTAGTTTTTCACATTTGAGTTAGCTTCAGGAACTACTACCCCTGGTAGTCGAGTAGTCAATTAACCAAAGAAGCCAAGCTCGGAGCTGAAGCCACAACCGGAGAAACCGAATGCCCCATCAGCCTCCCGCACGGCTTTCCGCGCCGATCATTCGTAAGATGCTAATTGGACAATCTAAAACATAAAACTCCTTATCAGGTGAGGCTCTAACCGCATTGAGTACTATCTGCTTTTCCAGCCGCCAACTCACTTCCTCGCTTCCCAGAATTTTGCCTAAGATCAAACATTATGAAAATCATCAACATTATTCTCCGGTTGCCCAGGAACCAATACCTCAACCTTATTGAGGTCAACTTCATACTCTCACAAAAATATCGATATAATCGTTCATCAGACCCATTCAGTCTGCAGATTTGATAAACACATTCTTCAGTTTATCAAACCTGCAGATCTTCTGTGGTCCCTACGCGATGTGTGTATCATGTTGGACACCGCTCGAAATCTGCCAAGAGATTCCCTATCCATACATTTACGAACATCAAATCACACAGCTTTGAGCCTTTGCTAGTTTTACTAGTGCTCCTGCGCTTAGACTAACGAGATACATGGCTCGGACAGCAAAGAAAAGTTACCAAAACATCGGATTGAAAAAAATGCAGCTACTGCACAAATTCTTCTCACCCCAGGCTTCAGCTAAGGTATTTCTCGTTGTTATTGCCAATCTAAGGTAAGGGCTCCGAGGCAGGTTGCAGCTTGAGGAATTCGATAGTTTCACAGCTAAGAGCTCTCTCTATCTTCTATTCTATCATATCAATCTTTATATCGTTATCAACAAGTTCTTACCTATGCTCTTTTCATACCATCCTCGCTTTTGTTTTAGACATCGGAGAATTCAGTAACTACCCGGTCTCCATTTCAATGAAAGTCAAAACTTCCGAACTTCTGCAAGGTCACATGATGAGCTTCTAGCCATTTTTAAATCTTCCAGTGGAGAAGAATTCTGCACAGACCCAACCCTTATCTCAAGCGATGAGATCTTTCTTCGCTGTCATTTCGTATTTGTTGCATTAGCATCAGCAGAACAAGGTGAGCTTTGGTGCGCAATGCGCTCAAAAGCACTCGGTCCCTCTCTGATCGCAACCTGTCCCCTTTTTTTTAATTCAATCTTCTCCTTGGTCCAACACACTTTTACGTGCCATATCAGTGCACATTTGTCCATTTGGACGCGAGCACATGCCCGAGCTATCTTTGCTTTGTGAGTTCAAGCAGTGATATGTTTCCTTTCCTATCTGTTTTGTCAGGAAACCAAGGGTGATTCAGGGTAGTTAGGCTATTTGAAATCCTAGAGAGTTATTGCTGTCGCTTGAGCCAATGATTCGAACGTCATAATACGCGGTTTCTAAGATTCAGACTTGCACATGGAAAGATAATATCTCTGAGTATGAAGAAAGTCTCATCACAGTTGATTATCCTGTGTTGACTTGAAATATGGATGCTGAAACCTCAAATATATAGGTAGAGAAGAAAAGTATTTGAGGCCTTACAACGTATATTTATGTCGCAGTGAACATCACAGTACCTTGACGGTTCTTGCCTGATGTCATTTCCTTCCAACTCACGAAGCAAAGTGCTTCAACTACTAGTACTAGCTATCAGCAAGTATTTTAAGATTTGCAGGTGCGATATATTAGAAACTGGTGCATAACCCGTGTACTACCCTGATATCATGTATACTTTCTAAGAATTCTAGATATTATTGGAATTTACTTCCAACCCCAAGGAGTCATAACTGAAATGAAACCGCGAGGAAATTGGGGCAGGATACAAAATGAACACACATGGAAACAAGACATGGACGTTCATTATGGTGACATTCCATTTCGAAATTCTAGAAGATCATTCCTTGTTTACGACTTTTAACAGAGCGGTGATGAGGAGAAAATATAATCCATAATAGTCGGCTCCTTCGAAGGCTGCCTATTTTGTAGTCGGGGAAAACGAATTTCCTGGAAAGCGAATTGTCCCTTCGCTTTCCAACATCAAAACCTCATATTTAATATTATAAGGTTGAAGCGGGACAATTCGCTTTCCGGGGACATTCGATTTAGTCGGCCTTCCAAATAGCCGACTATTACTCTCCGAAGGGTACTTTTCGAAAGGAAAAGAAAGAATTTCCACTACGATATGTATGCCTTTACGAGATGAGGATAATAGTGATGCGGGTTGCGGAGATGTATTTATATATGTTTATAAGATCAGATATAAGAATACAATACAATAGAATGTTACGAGGTTTGCCGTCTAGATCACGTGGAAGTGCTCTAGGCTCTCGAGGTAGTTTATAACTAGGCATCAAGCAAGGACTTAAAGTAATGACAATAATGCAATTCGTAACTAATAGTAGAGTATACTAAATGATCGATCTTGAGCACGAAGCTCTATAGAAAGGAAATCCATCTTGATTATATAGACCTTCGTGTCTCCTTAAAAAAACCGATGGCTATGAGCCCGACAAATCGATCACCGCGAAGCCGATCTCGATTTGTCGGTTTCTTGATCATGTGATCAAGAACGTGACCTATGTTACTGTCCAACGTAACAGTAAGGTCATTCCTTTTAACATATATTTTAATTACTAAGTAATGTTTAAAGTTAATATTATTGTTTATAATATTTATAATATTTATACTTTTGATATAAAAAAACAAATAAGAGGATTTTGAGGGATTATTGAGTATTGTATTTATAATCTTTTCTTTACGGATAGAATTGTAACGATACTGTACTGGGGGCAGCGGCTGCCTAAGGTTTGTCGGTTGGTAGTTATGGGTTAAGGCTTTATCATTGGTGTTCACTTGAAAGTGAATTCGTTACTAGATCAAGTAGAATGTAGGTAAACTAATTGATAACTAAGTTGAGCACGAAGCTCCTGTACTATGAAAATAATGAATGTTTTTATACTGGTCCTTTCCAGGAGCCTGGAGGAGCCTATGCTCCTGGAGGCTCCATCACGTGATCCCTACTTGTCCCACGTGATGGTGAATCGTGACAAGAATATAAATATTAAATTCAAATAATTAAAAAGTCTAAAAGAGAAATTTAAGAAGAAATTTAAGAGAGAATGTGAATGTGAATATATTCCTACAGTATTTATTTTGATTTAATTTAAGCCAAGAATGAGTAATTGGGGATTCTCTTGATATCCTTTTTCTTTTCTTGTTTTGAGAATGTTAGGGAAAGATTTAAGCTGGTCTGTAGTACTACTTGGGAGTAGGGAGTAGTACGCCAAGTGAGGTTAACCTTGTTGAGTAATTGTTGATTTGTTGATTTTTTGATTTTTTTGATCAAAGGTTTAGTTTAGTTTGTACGATGAGTATGGGAAGGAAGAGGAAGTGATATATGCAATCTTGGGATCTTTTTTGGTGATGGGGGGTGGGAAAATTGAGATTGAGATTGAGATTGATAAAGATGGTTTGGAAATGGATGGGGCTAGCTTTTTGGGGTATTGGATTATTATTTGTGCGATGGTTCTGGATTTGTAAAGAATTTATTATTTAGTTTGGTATTTCTTGTTGAATTAGGTGTACCTAGGTTAGTTTGTGCTATGCTCATTACTTTAGTCAGTAGTGTTTGTCAGCTCGGGATATAACTAGCTAGATAGTATTTAGTTCTCAAAGTATTACATAGTAAGGTTGTCTGAAAGATACTTTAAGCTGTTAACATTTTCAGTTACAGAATCCTAATAACCTCCCTCGCATCCGACATTCCAGTAATTATCAAAAGCTGAACAATGCATTTTCAGCATTGGATCCTAGAATCGATATTGATTTTTTCTTCTGCAAAGTATATGTACGTAGTACATCGGTACATATTTCCTTTAAATAGATACGGGATCCGGATGCTATGTTGTGTCTGCATGATATAAAGTTTCTGCGGATGTGGGTTGGTGGTGCTACGCTTGGCATGGCTAATTTGTGCTTGGGTACAAATGTATGACTTACTTGGGAACTTGGAGATTTCAATTCTAGGCTTCTGTTTTAGAGTGCTTGTTTTTTTCCTCTTGTTAGATTTTTGAATTCTTGAGGTTGGATAGGGGATACATATGTAGCTTCGGCGTGGATGGTGATGAAATGTCTGTACGATGGAAGATTCTTATGTAGATGTGCAGAGGATTGATATCTTGCTAGAGTCACGATTCATAGGTTGGATGACCATAGGTGTCTTTACCACGTAGAAGCTAAAAACGCCACGGAAGCTTAGAATAGGTAGGCACTGAATATTGTCGGTACTCCCAACAGAATACATTTGCCACCGGCAAACGAAGTACGTGCCTAAGCTTGTTGAAATGTTCTGTATACAAGGAAAACGTGTAGTTGATACCAATTAAGTAAAAGTTAAGAAAATCTCTTGGATTTGTTCCTTATGCTCCGATGAAAATGTACTAGATGTGTGTAGTTTGTATACTAGGTTGGTACAGAATTATTTCGAGGGTATATATATACACATTCGTTTGTCCTATCTAGGTAGACGTGTAAAGAAGGTTAGCAGAATGCTTGCTAGGCAATGACATTTATTGCTTTCCTGTGATCCATGCATCTGCTCATCTTGCGCCATTCGAAATCCTCCACTCCTGTTTTCTGGGGTAACCTTTTTCGATCACCAGGATACACAGTTATCCCCGAACCGGTATTGTACTCATGAATAGCATTGTTGTAAAGTAATATATGAATAATTATTGAAATAAGTATGTACTTGAGATAATTGCTTTTCTACCAATAGGAATTTTCGATGCTAAAATGTTATGCATATTTAACGGTTTCTTATGCCAAGAGAGATGCCCAGTCTTTTAGTGCACAATACTTTTTTAGCCGTCTATCCTTGATTTGATTTCCATGACGACCACAGAAACTACATTACATCTGGATTTGAATATGCAGAGTTTAAAGGTGACCAACGACTTATAAATTCATAAAGCACAAGCAAGATGCCATTGATTCCTGGAGGAAGAAAGCAATGAATACTAGAATATTACCAATCAACATCTCCTTGGTTGTACCAGAAGAATGGCGCAGGATCCTAGCAACTAATAAACAAAAACGTCTAGATGGTGGTGGTAGTAGTAGTATTTTCTTCCTTTATCGGAGAAAAGAAGATTTCATATTGATCACAACAAGAGGAAAAGGTCCGAGGTATACCAAAGTCTACCATGAGCTAAACAATTGTGCATCCCCATTGAAAATGTGAGCTAAATCATCATCCGTAATTCTTATTGAAAATCGTCTTTACCGAATCTATTAAACTTGAAGATTTAGATTCTTTTCAACCGATTTTGAAAGAAGGATGAGAATTCCCCCTCGGCTAGATCTACACTAAAAGTCACACCAGAAAGGTTCGAGCAAGCCTATCGCCTTCTAGATGAAGAAGCAAACACCTTCCACACACATGTACTGTGGCCAAGGCTTCTTCATGTATTTGACGGAACCCAGAACTTCATCAACCTTGGTCTCTCTCCTCATTTATCTCTTCAATACACATTCGCTCTGAGAGACCATCTCATGCTGTGTCTTCTCATTATTCATTCTTCATTTTAATAAATTCACCTTCATTATACCCGTGTAATTGTACAAGGGCATCTCAAATATTTACAAGGCGCTTCTCAGGTTCTCAAGTTGCCGGGCACCCTTGACACACTCTTTGTATGTATTCACATCCAGACCTCATTCTGAATTATTCCTAGTCAGATGCAACAGCCTATGGGAGCATTTCTCATCATTCCCCAGCCTCTTCTAATAGTAAAAATAGTCACTCGTTTTACAAGTAACACCTCTCCACGTTTTTGCAACATCAAGTCGAATCCGACTTCAATTGTGTAAACCTCTTTCAACAAACAGCACAAGCACATCCATTTACTACCAAGAATACAGCTGCCATGGGTTTTGGCATCTTTTTCAAGAAGAAGAAGCCTGAGGAGGGGACGGAATCTACACCACCTACCATGACTGAGAAGCAAGTTCCTGCCATGATTCCGCAGTCAGACTTTGATGCCATGGCACTTCAACCACCCAATACCCGATTTGCTCCCTCATCATCAAGAAATTCAATCTCGAATCGATCACATGCCAGCTCAAACTTTCTGGAAGACATCAAACATGAGGTTATGGTTAACTACCTTTACCAGCAACAATGTTCACATCTCTGGGTCAGTGATGGAAGTGGCGAAATCGAAGGTGTTTTGCTCAGAAAATCGAGAAACACATACATGGCTTGCCCGCCACAATTAGGCACTTCTCCTTTTGCCGCAGCATGTGCAGCTCTCAATGTTCAAGTAAGAGCTTAAGAAATGTGTTTTTACGTCTGAAAGCTAATCTTGTTAGTGCGCAATGACAGTGAATTCTCGAGTTATCAAGACTTTCCTACAATGTTCGCCAAATGCCGTGGATGTTCCGCTTTTGAATGGCCTCAGAATACAGATCTTACCAACAGTTGAAGATTTACCGCGTGCAAGGAAACTACAATTCGCTGCATTCGTTGCATCTGAAGCTTTACTGGTTGTGTGGGACGACGAGGCATTACATTTAGTCCAACGAGCCAAGGCCATTGAATCAGAATTGATGGAATTAGTGTGGAAAACCGATGAAGAAATCGAGGATGAAAAGAAGAGCCCAAATACTGCCACCTTGGAAGTCGATGAAGAGAGTGGGCGACCTCTTCCAGAGACGCGTGGATTACACTTGCAAAATACAGTTCTGGTTGCTCTAACGATCATCTTGATTATCACAACTCTGGGTGCTGGTGTTCGTCAAGTAGCCATTGAGACTGATGTCGACCAGAACTATACCCGTCTTGCACTCCTAATCTTAACTCCCGTTCAAGTGTTTTTCACACTCTTCTTTGCTCAAGTCATCGTTGGTTGTCTTGCTCAGCTCTTTGGACCTGTGCAACAAATGAGTATTAACTCCAAGTTTTACTCTGCTAATCCACCACCACGTATTCTTGATGGGAATCTTCCACACATCACAATCCAATGCCCTGTTTACAAGGAGGGATTGCATTCCGTTATTGCACCCACTGTCAAATCGATCAAACAAGCCATTTCTACCTATGAATTGCAGGGTGGCTCAGCCAATATGTTCATTAATGATGATGGTCTTCAAATCATTGATGCAGACGAGCGCCAGGCTAGAATTGATTTCTATGCTGACCACAGTATTGGATGGGTTGCTCGACCAAAGCATGGAGACAATTTCACCAGGAAAGGAAAATGTAAGTTTCTTTGATCCTATTTTGAAGTCTATTCGCTAACATTTCAATAGTCAAAAAAGTAAGCCACCATTGCGCCATTAACATCCTTCCTACTAGAAGGGATTTTTCATCCTCTGATGAACATTTTTTTTTCTCTAGCTGAATCTTATGCTAACCACAATTCACAGGCTTCTAATATGAACTTTGGGCTCCACATCTCTTGTATGGTTGAGGAAAAGTTAGCTTTGATTCAAAGACCTCTTGATTGGACTCAAGCAGATGAAGCACAAGCATATGGAAGATGCCTGACAGAAGCCTTAGAAGACAATGGCCGTGCATGGGCTGACGGAAATATTCGAATTGGTGACTATATCTTGTTGAGTAAGTGCATCCAACTTCGTTCAAAAGGCTCCTCTGACGCGTTTCAGTCGATTCGGACACTCGTGTCCCTGAGGATTGTTTACTAGATGCTTGTTCTGAAATGGAACAATCACCTGAGGTTGGCATCATGCAATTCTCATCCGGTGTTATGCAGGTCGTCAACACTTATTTCGAAAATGGTATCACTTTCTTCACAAACTTAATTTATACTGCTATTCGATATACCGTTTCTAATGGGGACGTTGCTCCCTTTGTCGGGCATAATGCTATTTTGCGTTGGTCAGCCATTCAGCAGGTTTCATATGAAGATGAGGATGGATATGAAAAGTTTTGGTCAGAATCTCATGTTTCTGAAGATTTTGATATGTCTCTCCGTCTTCAAGTGAATGGATACATTATTCGATTGGCTGCATGGGCTGGTGAAGGATTTAAGGAGGGAGTGTCATTGACAGTTTATGATGAACTTGCCAGATGGGAGAAGTATGCATATGGTTGCAACGAGCTACTCTTTCACCCACTTCGTATGTGGTTCTACAAAGGTCCATTTACTCCTCTCTTCCGAAGCTTCTTATTTTCCAACATTCGGTTCACCTCGAAAGTAACAATTATCTCTTACATTGGTACTTACTACGCAATTGGGGCTGCATGGATCTTGACCACCGCAAATTACTTCGCTATTGGATGGTATAATGGATACCTTGACAAATACTATGTTGATTCTTGGAAAGTCTGGTTTTCCATCGTCATTGTGTTTAACGGTCTCGGAAACATTGCTTTGGCAGTCATGCGATATAGAATTGGCGAAAGAAGCCTTGGGTATGCACTTTACGAGAACTTCAAGTGGACACTTATGTTGGCAATTTTCCTGGGTGGTCTTTCGCTTCATGTTTCACAAGCACTACTTGCGCACATGTTCGAAATTGATATGACCTGGGGTGCAACATCCAAAGAAGCCGAGTTTAGTAACTTTTTCATCGAAGTCCCAAAAGTCCTGAAGAGTTTCAAGTTCTCCATGATCTTTTCTCTCCTGGGTATAATTGGCATTATCGTAATGGCTACGGCTTCTTTCATCCCATACGATTGGCGTATTCAGGACTTTGTGGCTATTTTACCCATGGCTACAGTTACGACTAGCCATTTACTTTTGCCATTGGCTTTGAATCCTGCCCTTATGACATTCTCGTGGTGATTTCATTTTCAACATCTTTCATCATTTGTTCAGAGATGTAATAAGATTGCAAATTTGCAACGGACAAGGTTCTTCATGGTGTTATATAGTGAGCTAGCTAGCTACTTCTTAGATATAATTCATATTGCTTACTCGTAATAACTTTCATTTTAATCATACCATTTAGGTGGATGGCGATATACAGAGCGGAAAATTGTAACTATTACTGGTGATAGAAGTAGTTGGGATGAAGGTTTTCATTCGTTTATTGGTATGTATATAGAGTGGAAAATAAGCTGGGGTTTTCCTCAACTGAATCTTGAGAAAATGTCTATCTGTCTGTCTTTACTATTAATAGAGTCTAAACTTAACTTAACTTGATGGTGTTGATGATAATAATTAGAGAAATTTTTTTTTATATATTTTAATATAATTATAATGACCAGACATTAACAAATAATTGAAAATTATTTTAATAAATTATAATAATTTTAATTATTAAAAATATTGTTAAAGTGAATGGTTCCTGCGTAGCACGTGCACAGGGCACTAGTCCTATTAGGACTAGATTGAGAAGCTCTCTGTAAGAGAGCTTCGCACTTCCGTAGAACTTAGACAGAGAGATTAACCTACTAGACCAATATTACCTCAGTTC